ATTGATACCTGGTGGTCCATTACTGCTCCTAATTTGTTTGCTTTATGAAGGGACGATCTCACTTCATGCAGTTTACTGAGAGAATGAAAATACAACCTTTTCTCAAGGCTACTAATTAACAACAACCTCGAAAACTGGCTATTTGAAAGAAGGGAAACTAGAGAACTGACTGCCTCAAAGATGTTTTTAATTGCATCTATATCTTTCTTGGAAAAAAAAAAACCATAATTATAAAGAATCATCTTTAAAAGTAATAAGCGGGAGTTGTTATTGATAACTGATCTATTGTAAGCAGCATGGACTATCAAGCTGTATAATAAATAATTTACATGCTAAAAGAGCCAAATAACATTTAATAATAGCTCGTGCAAATCATTTCCGATCTAGCCGATCAACCCACGCAGAGCGTTGTTCAACTGTAGGGCATGAACCAATGCATGTCACTTCACGGTGAGAACAGCAATTATGCATCATGGTCTGGAACAGTTTGTAGAAAGTAGTCTTTTCCTTTGGTGGTAGACACTTTAAGTGAGATTCAATGATTAAATGTTGTTACTTGAGAAGTTCGCACATGCGCTTACATCATTGCAATACTTTTCGTGGTATGGGCCTCTGCTTGCAACCAATGAATAATTAATGCTAAATGAGTAGGCGTGGAGTGTCACTCTGCGGTGCATTAGGGACCTAAAACGTAGACACAATGGCGAAGTTGAGAAATAAAAATTGCAAAACAAGGACACAGGTTTGTTGATAGAAATTTACTGGTGGCTCCATATGTTTACCTACTATTCAGGCAGTCTCTTTAAAAGCGGTCTGATGCTTTTTGGGTAAAAAATAAACGATTTCTTTCAAAAGATGCCAATGAATCTTTCCTAGTCTAAAAAAAAATTGAAACCACCATGGGTTTTCCAAATATTGTAATATATTTTTTTTCCAAGCGAAAATCGCCTCAGCGCTCAAAGGCCCGTTTTTGACAGCGCCTATCATCAAAAATGGTACAAATTGAATTACACGTCTTTTCACAAAACTCTTGTTTGAGGTATTATTTTTGCTTCGCATATTTAGATGGATACTTTTTGAGAACAAGTCATGTGAGTTTTTCTTATTAACGGTTTCTTACATTGAAAATTATTTTTCCATTTGACACCTGCTTTGCCTTTGCCGTCATGACCGTAAATATACAAGCTTTTAATCTCGGCATAGCGCGAAATTCTAATTTCTCCTTTCATTATGTTTTTATTTAGACTAGCTTAAGTAGGGTACAAGATTATAGAAATATAAAAATATGTTGTGGTTACGGTAAACTTTTAGTAGAGCCAGTCAACTTAATTTGCACATTTCGAAATTCCACCCAACAGTAAACAAAAAGTGGACTCAGTTATTTACGAAATTTACGTCTACAACCCATATGGTTGACGTCTGAATGGAGTACTTTAAAGCTTTTTCATGCTTGATGATGCCGTAAAACAACATTTAAGAGAGACAAATCCCACATCCATCTAGAAAAATATCGCCGCCGAAAGCTGACTCTTCGCTCTAAGCGACCTCTTGTTTTCTTTTTTACCCAGTAATAGCAAAGAAATCACTGAAAAGGGAAGATAGATAAAAATTGTCATAATTATCAGAAATATATATATATATATTAGACGTTATGTTGTGTAGTATCGCTGAGGGGCGCGTTCTGAAAGGGGGCGCTAAATCGAATAATTACTCTACCCACGCGCAAAGGCTTATGGACTGACAATAGACCACGGAAATAAGTGGACAAAACAGTAAATTCAAACTGAGTAAAAAAGAAACTCTTGCATTTTCAATACAGGAAAAGTAAACTCTGCAATCCATGTTTAAATTTCACCTGCTAAATTGATACCTGCTGGTCCATTACTGCCTCTCATCTGTTTGTTTTATAAAGAGACTTTCGCACTTCATGTAATTTACTGAAATAATAAAAAAAAAATATACAACTTTTCCTCGAGTCTACTAATTATAAGTCCCTGATCACCTTATTTCCTTATTTTTATTCCTTATTTTCCCTCCCAAATACCCATTACTACGTCAGTCGTTAATCAATTAAAACTTCAGATGTAAACAAGAAAACGCACAAATGCTACGTATATATATATCATAACCTGCCAATAACTGGGCTTGTTTTTAATGTTTTTAGGAGAACACCTTGCTTCATTCCATCAATATCAGTGTAAAGCGAGAAACATTTTAGAAAGTAACGTTTGCATGTAATCGTTTCTTCGTAAACAACATTTAGAAGAGGTTATTTGAAAGAACAGAAAGTAGAGAATTGACTGCCTCAAAGATGTTCTTAAATATATCTAAATCATGTTTTTTGGTAAAAAACCAAAATGCCGAAGAATCATCTTTAAAAATTAATAATGAGCGTGGGTTTGTTATCGATAACTGATCTATCCTAAGCGAGA